CCCAGCGGCACCAACAGCTAATCACCCAATTGGGGAAGGTTTCCATTCGACAGTTTCCGTTGGTTCCACTTCTTCCTCAGCCGTCCGTCGTAAAGCAGTCTGCTTATATTGAGACATTGACAAAATCCGAGTCTTTTGATGGCGAGGGTAATATCCTCAAATAATAAAGCAAGGGTGATTTTTCTTTTTTGTAGATCTACGCCCCGCCATGACACGCGACCTTTGAGACGCATTATCTCGTGACTCTAAGTACATTTTAGTCTCTGCCTATTGGCGTCCCCACGTGGGCTACTGCCAGGGACTGTTTGGTCAGAAGCGAAAGGGTTGAAAAGGACCTTGCGAGTTGCAGTGGCATTCTTGATGAGTCAGGTGTCCATCTGTCTATAGTCGCAAACCAGTGGTCGCACATCGATATCTTAAGAAGGCAGATGATCACTCTATTCGTCTCAAGGTCCTGGATACTAATTTTCACTGCGTCTTGTCCAAGGGTTGCGGTAAATCCGCTTAAGCATATTTATAGAGTAATCGTTATGGTAAGGGTTATGCATGTAGAGCCATACTAGGCAACAGAAACATTGCAACTGCTACAGTACTTTCGAGTCGACCTCTCCTCTAATGTGCCAGTTCTCGTCTGCAATCAAAGCCAACAATTTGAGCCTTCCTGCCAAATTGGCCGAACTAAGTTTGTGGGCCGATTAAGCTATGTACACAAGCTACGGAGTTACGTAGGGATGTCGAGAATCGGATCTGCAATTATTTCCTTATCGGGAGTGCGGGGCACCTTGTGGTTGTTGTTGATGATTGGAAATGGTAAACTGAGCAACCCCTCAGTTATCCTACGTTCTGTTTGTGCATGTCAACTTGAGAAGAGCACTGTCTTTCCTTGACCTCTATCTTGTTTGCAACATCCCATCTATTTCAGCCACACTGTATCGCCATGTCTGAGTTTCCTTCCCTCCAGCCTGCCTTCACAGTCCAGGTGAGTAACAAGCGATAATTAGCATGGCGCTGCTCTCGACGGCTAACCACTGTGTTCTGTATAGGTCACAATTGACCCTGGGTTTGCTGTTGGTAAGCTTCTACTCGAAAGGAAATATTGTTGGTACATTTCTAACCTCGTTCAAGGCAGTGCCTCTCGTTCCAACAGCCTGCAGGTCGTGGTAAGCTCGCTGCCAAGCTGACTCATTGACAGCATTCGTCGTTAACATACATTACATTGATCAAAAGCCTATGACCGGTGGCACTGTCAAGAGTGATCCCGGTTACACCCTCGCCCTCGATGCCGAGTTCGTCGGTACCGGCAACGATTACATCCATGCAGACCCAGACAACAAGCACTTGCGCTTGAATGCTCACGGAGTCATCAAGTTAGTCTTCATCGGGGGATTCTGGGAATGAGGGCACGAGAGCAGAGAATGATGCTAACTGTACATGCGCAGGACCAAGGATGATACTGTGCGTCACGATACCATTAGCGAAGACTGGGGGATACAAGCTGACGGTACAACTAACAGTTACTCTACATGAACTACACCGGCGTCATCACGATGGGCCCCGCGGAAGCGGCAGTTTTCTCTGGCACCGCAGACGACGGCGCGACGCCGTTTGGAAACTCCTTTACTCACTTTACCTTTGAGGTGAGACCGCATCGCGGGTATATTTACCCTTCTGCATGCTCTAACAGAAATGCAGACCGGTGATGAGCGCTACAAGGAGTTCGAGAACCGAGTGTTTGTCGGCCAGGGACGATTCCGAGTCGAGAAGGGTAAGCCGGTGGTTGTCGAATACAAGGTCAGCCAGGTTGTCAAGGGTTAGACCCACTTTGGTCATAAAGGGTTATATATTCGAAGATACCTAGGTCGAAGGTCGATCTCTCAGGCAAGATTTCCGCTTAATGCCGCATCACTCAACGCAGTAAAGGCTCGGCCTCAGTTTGATGACGTTGGTAATCATCCTCTTCTGCATCTCCAAACCCAGACCTCCTACGACCAATCCGCCAACGCCGTAGCTTCTGTCGGACACACCCCATACACCGACTCCATCTACTCCCCAAAGCCCCCTTTCCACATTCCCAGAGCCGCCCAAGCAAAATCCCCAATCCAACCAGCGCCAACGTCCCAAGCACCGCCACGCAAGCCGTCAAAAAGGTAATCGTGCTAACATGGCACCCGAACGGCAAGGCCCGAAGCTCCCATCTCTCTTCCGAACCAAGCGGACAAATAGTTGACGAGCTGAAAGGCGCTAATATAGGCACACGCGATCGGTTGGGGACGCACGTTGATGTCTATTGCGGTCAGCATTTGTCGCGTCTCGCATCTGCTTGCGCAAATTGGATGCTGCGAGCTGATACATACCACTGGGCACCAGCTACAAGGGGCATCACCTTTCAGGCACGCCCCGCACGCTTGTCGGCCCCAGCAGATATCGAAAAGGGGATCGTCGCTGAGAGCCAGGACGGCTTCGTTTTCGTTTTCGTTACCGGTTGCGTTCGATTCTATGTTTGGATGGGGGGCTAGAATGGAGGCCATTGGAGTTTAGGGTACCTGGATGAGGGGCGGAGTTGAACGTAGGACTCTGGATCCCCTGGATTCAGGATGTGATCTGTTGCTGTATTGGGCCTGGAAGCTCAATGTTCTGGATACTTGGGTCACTGCTGGTGGATGCGGGGCTGATAACCCTGCATGCCGTGGTCGTCTAATTAGGAAGGTACTTTTGATCTCTAGTTTATACGAGCAGCGGTGCCGCAGAGAATATTGGTGTAGATATTATTCATGCAAATAGGATATTTCATCGCGCTCATTCAAAACAACTAGTCTTATTGCAGGGATGCTAAAAGGCCAAACTCTCAGACCGTAAATGCAATCGAAGACACCAATCATCACCCACGATATAAATCCATTACTTCGTCTCTGGATGTAATCAAACAACACGCTTAACCTAGAACACTAATGTCAGCGCAACTATCGACAAACCTGCTTGGATATTGTCACACCCACCTCGAAGAATCTCTTCAGCCACCAGACCTGGAAGATACCCTCACCAATAAGCACGGCAAGCTGGAAAATGCTCCACCACTTCACTCGGGCGTTTGTGCTCTCCGCGGTGTTTCGATGCACCCGCTCTCTAACGACAATGTAGGACTGTTCATCCTTCACCTGAGCCAGGGCCTCCGAGAGTTTACGCACTGCACAAAGAAGCTGTTAGCTGACACCGCACAACTAGTGTCTAACGCCCATATGCAATGCTCATACCTTCCGCCTCCAGGGGATCTTGGGCCAATTCATGTTCCGGCACGTAGACAATTCCGTGGACGTTGAAGGACACTTCCTTCGAGTTCGAAGTCCAACCCTCGTTGCTGAAGCAGTAAACGTACTTTCCGTCGGTGTGTGCGGTGAACGAGTAGTCCTCCGAAGAGACGGCTTGTCTGAAGTACTGGCGGTTCTTTAGGGGGTCCTCAACCTGTAAACCAGCAGAAAAGTCGGATTAGTAACTTATAAATCCCGTCCATTGACCGATTGCCTTCGTGACCGATCCGACAATCAAAATAGATGATCCAGCAAAAGCTTGAGTTTCAGGGGACCTACCCAGAAATCAATCTCAAGGTTCCCGCTGCCACCAAATTCCCTGTCACCGACCTGGAAGGTAACGGTCATCTTATCCTCCTTGTGCAATGTCTCGTGGAAGCATTCTCTCGAGTGCGCCTTGAGCTGGATGTTGTGTCCAGCCACAGCTGTGATCCACCCAAGGGCGGAGATCAGAAGGGTTGTTGTGGAGAATCGCATTTTGTGTATGACTTCGCTTGCATGCAGAAGACGAAGCTCTAATGTGCTAGTGGAGAGGAGGTTGGAAGGGAAGTGGTGATGCTCGGCCTGCTCGATGATCTCCGACGCGCAAGGTGTTCTCTCTCTGTCGGAGTTGGAAATTCGAGACGCTCGGACCAACTCTAAGCAAACCACCTCAGTACTCGTAGATGGCTCTCCGCGGACCGCACCTTAAGTCATTCAATGGTCTGTCTAATTTAAAAATTTTGATTCGCAGTCCAAGTCAATTAAAAGCTTGCCATTCGAAACCAGCCTTTTCCTACCATCAAGAACATGATGCACGCTGGCTGTTCCCTTCCCCTGGAAGATGACCATCCAGATTGTGTATATTGAGCATTGTGGGGATCCAGGAGGACCTCTCCTTGACCTGAGAAGGAGCTATTCAACTTTCTGCTACAAATGAAGGACTTGCCTCTTTGTGCCCAGCAGACAAGGACCAACGTCCAAGCTCCTTCTGAAGGGATTTGCTCATGCCTTCCTCCCGGCTTTGACCAGTGCTTGCCTTTTATAGAATGTACCTTAGGATGCCGATTCTCGAGACCAACAAAATATCCATACACTCATGTGTTCCTGTAGATAGCGGGTGTTGATGCTGCTAGGTATTATATTTGCTACAGCTTCTTTTAATTCCGAGCAAAATTGAGAACTCATCGAGATGCCGGTCTATGTCGTCGATGGCATTCGCTATCGGGTTCCTCTGACCTCTGTCTTCAGACCCAGGACGCTGTGCAAAGACCTGCTGGCCACTGATGCGCATAGGGTAACAGCAATACCCATCAAACGATGCTAAATTACAAGGAGTCTGATCTTTTGCAGCGAGCTAGGGTTGCTGCAAAGCACAACACGAAGTTTTGGCACACTGAAACCGAGACTGAAGCTTTATGGACAGATATTATGGGGGGCAGGTCGGGTAAACGCAGTTCGAGGATCTAAATGGTGAGAAAATGACGGGCTGATCGCACAAAGGCAACAACGATGCGTCAAAATGGAATAGAGACGGTGGTAGGGTACCTCATCAGCTTGAAACTCGTGGGAGATCGAGGAAACATTTTCCCAGCGCATTGAGCGACTGCTTCATTGAGGAGCTGAAAGACCAGTTTACTCGGATTCGCGGAGACATACTTCAGAGCATTATAAAAGCAGACCGCAGACCTTTCTGGTATGCGAGCAATCTGCCGCATGATAGTGAATTAACTGGCCCAGACCATCTGGTCATAGATGGCGAAGTAAGTAGGACTCCCAAAGATCTCACTCAACTGTTTCTATGATTGGCAAGACAGCTGACACACTATGCTGAAGTTCGAAGAGATTGAATACGAAGGAGAGTACGTTGACTCCCGTTACCAGGGTATCGACCAGGACTGCACCCTGGAGGATGTGACGCTACTTCGTGAAATTGCGGCTCAATGGAAAAGGGACCAGTGGCAGGCCATCAGTGCAAGATTCAATGGCATGACTGGTCGTAAAATCACCCCTGAACAGGCAAAGTCAGTTCTCGATAACAACCAAGGGTAAGCATACGAGTGGAGGGTGGTGGCAGAGGGGCAAAGTATCTAAGTTTGCGCAGTTCCAACGTTCATCGGATGGAAAGTTCGCGCTCCGATGGCAACCAGGATCGGATAAGAACCAAGACTACAGTAGACCGGTACACTGGAATGGCAACTCCAAAGACGAGGACTGGAAGCCACTGTCGCGGACTTGGCCGGTTGTTTGTTTCTGGTTCTTCCATCCATTGAACATCCAGGGTTCCTTCAATAATGTATGCGCATTGTTCAAAGTGTGTGACATCATTGACTCTCCCTCTGCTGGTATATTATTAGCCGGCTTGGATCACATAAGGTATCGAGTTGAGCCGTTCTTTTTCCGACTCATCCAAGCGGCAGTAGAAACAGTAGGTGGCAGCGATTATGTTGTGGATAATTTCGGAAAAGAAGTTTAGAACTGAGTTGCAGAAATGCTTGTACGCCGTTTATCATATTTGTAGGTCTGGTTCAAACTATCACTTCGCAGACTCTTTCTTGAGTATGACTGTACAAGGGACAGGGTCCAGGCCTCTCTGACCCACTAAACCACTTGGGGAACCTGAGACCCCTGTGGAGGTTTCACCCAACAAGCCCGGAAGGCAGAAGGATCAAGGGTGATAGGGATCACCGAAGCGTTTTGCCCCAATATCGTTAAACCAGGTACCGCGCGTGGGTCGCTCAAACAAATGAGATCTCGGATTGGGTGACACACTGTGGCACAGTTTGGATTGTTCCATAGGGGCGCTGGCCCTGAGACGGGAACCTAGGTACGTTACCTAAGGGTACTGATCGATGCCTTACCTTACTGGGTGATGGCGAATTCTCCTCCGCGGCCCCGGGCCAAAGAGAGCCAGAACCAAACATTCGTTCGTTCATTCTCTTCCAGTTCCTTCAGGAGGCGACCTTTATCCGTTGAATTATCATTCTCATCGATCGTTCCAAGTTCCAACTACTCCACATTCTCTTCTCATTGACTGACGTACAGGGTCGGTTGCCAGTCTTTGATTCCATTATTTATTGCCTAACTGTCCCTCCTTCTGGTCTCTCCTTACTCCTGTCGCTATTTTTATCTGGTATTGATTTCGTCTATTCCCGTGCTTAAATCGAAGCAGTTTTGTGTTTATAACATCAATTAGACTCATCACTTTCGTTCCTTCTTGACCTTAGAACAGCACATACATCCAAAATGCGTGTCAGCACCTTGCTCCCACTCGCTCTTGCGGCCGGTACCGCTGTCGCCACTAAGAATGGAACTTTGGGTTTCGCCCTCGGCAACAAAAACGCGGACGGCAAATGCAAAGTCCAGTCGGACTATGAGACCGATTTTGATACGTTGAAAGAAGTGACCTCTCTTGTGCGCATCTACTCCGCGAATGACTGCGACACTGCGAAGAATATCATCCCTGCAGCGAAGGCGAAGAACTTCAAAGTCGTCCTGGGTGTCTGGTATGAACTACGCCATATTACTTCCTCTTTACGTCAAATCGGCTAGGTTGCTAACATTTTCCCGTTTGGTAGGCCCGATTACGATCAGTCTTTCACCGAGGACTTCAACGCCTTGAAAGCCTCTGTCCCTGGGAATGAGGATGTTATTGACGCCATCACTGTCGGCTCCGAAGTGCTCTACAGAAAGAGTCTCACCCCTCAGGCTCTGCTCGCCAGAATCCAGCAGGTCCAGAAGGAGTTCCCCAAGGTTACCGTCGGAATGGTGGACAGCTGGAACAAATTCGCTGATGGTACGGCCGATCCCATCATTCAGGGTGGTGTCACTTACTTGTAAGCTCATTTTGCCTCCCAAGTTCCCGCATGCCGTTTTTCTCTGTCTCAAGAACTGGGCTGATTTTTACATAGCCTGGCCAACGGCTTCGCCTACTGGCAGGGCCAGGAGCTGAGCAATGCCACCAACACATATTTTGATGACATGTCTCAGGCTCTGGGCCACATTGAGCAAGTTGCCGGCTCTAATGCAGACAAGATTCGCTTCGGCAACGGTGAGACCGGATGGCCCACAAGTAAGTGTTGCATTTCCTGAATTACATGGGTTCATGGTGGATATTGAATCTGACGCCTTAACAGCTGGTGGATCCAACTACGGACCTGCCGTCGCCAGCACTGAGAATGCTGCTGATTACTACAAGTCTGCCGTCTGTGGCATTCTCGCATGGGGTATTGATGTCTTCTACTTTGAGGCCTTTGACGAGTCCTGGAAGCCCGACACCAAGGGCGACAACGGTGAGATGCAGGACGAACAGCACTGGGGTGCTTTTACCGCGGACCGTAAGGCCAAGTTCGATTTGAACTGCCCCGCGCACTAGAATTTTATTTTCTAGGGTGGAAAGGATGGTGAGGGATCCCAGGTGGACTTTATTCTTGTATGATATACCAGCCGGATATACCAGTTTCTAGAGATCTCAACAGGTATTGCCTTTTGAGTTAGAAGTGAATTTACTGCGTTGCCGAAGTATGATATTCAGTTGGTAGGCTTAGGCCCAATTTCAGTCCCACTGTAGTTTTCCGTTTGGATTTGGTGGGAGTTGGTGCAACCTTGATTAAGCATGTGTCTTTTCGATCAACAGTGACTTTGGAAGTGTTGGTGGGTGCATTCTGATCTGACGCATAATTATTTCATGCACAATCTGATGAGTCAGCTGGTGTAATAGTGTCCTCTAGCAGTGAGGAACTGCGTAGAGCAACGGAGTTATCAGAGTATGGAGCACCGAGTTAGAGAACCGTGGTTCGTAGCGTAGTTTTACCCCTGATTCGAAGACACGAACCACGAGGGCGCGTCACCCGCAAAAGAGTAATAACAAATAATCATCTCCATCAATTGACGCATGAATCAAAGTGACATTTCTGAGCATTTTGATGCTGAAATTTAGCTTGTTGTACTATCATGCTGCTCTGTTGCTGAAGGTCAATACTCCGAGGCGAAATGCAAGTACCGAGTACAGTCACCAGATGGCGGTCAAAGCTACTGAGGTAACCAACGAGCCATCAAAGGTGCACCTTGTGTAAACAATCAAGCACCAGACACGTAGCATCAGGGGAGTACTTCAGAGTAATGAGAACATATCAATCTTCCAGGAATCTTGTGATAAAAAAGGAATACTCAGTTATCTGTAAAATGCTGTAGATTTCAGATGATACGGAGAACCCGGAGAACCCCTGCGACCTTCCTTTGGATAATTCCTCCTCAACGGCCGTTGGCCCCTCAAGGTTTATCCGCCCATGAGTTTCCTAGTCTCCTCCGTAGTCTGGCGTTTTTTAAGTTCTGCTCTGCTGATCGTGACATGAACCAAGACGAAAGAGCCAAGACATCTTTTCAGATTAAAAAAAAGAGGCCATCGCTTCTCTCCCCTTAAGTCTACGCCGTCGTTAGTCTCGATTACCTTCCTCATCGTCCACCCTCGATCCAGCTCTCCTTTGTGTATGCGCCATGGTCCAAGATTTTCGCATCCCTTAGCTGTCTCTAATTATTCGTCCGTTCTTTCCTTGTCTACCTTCGTTAGGGTCAGCTTTTGAGTTTTCATCATTGAAGACTTACCTCCCTGAAGGAATCTCTTAGGCGCGTTCTCCATTCAACGTCTAAGCCGCGGGAACGCCCGTCCTCTCCAGCGCGCAGCTTGATTCGATTCCTGTAATTCAGGGTGAAGACGATCTACGAGGTGGTTTACCATTTTCTGTTATCTGATTTCCATGCTTCAACATTCTGGACGATAAGGGGAGCAGCAAGCAAGGGCTTGCTGCAGGTGTCGACACGGAAGGTGTGTATTCTTCTATCTGTTACGCAGATACAGTTCCTCAGGTCAATTGCCCATTGATGGCATTGTGTTAGGCAAAACGCCATCGAGCGCCATGACCTTTCCTCCCAGTCATCGTCATACGCAACTCAGCAGCTAAATAGTCGATTATTCTTCTCTTAATAGATTTAGATCCGCTCGTTCCTTCCGCCAATTCGGCGTCTTGTCCGCCGCCTTTCATCGTGATACCCAACGACAGTCCTGACGATTCGCATTCGACCGTGCCATTGGTTACATCCTACGCATCTCCAGAAGTGTCGAATCGCTCGGCCTCCAGATCCCCTGGCCCGCAGCAACCCCCCAGGACCAACAGCGTCACCCCAAACCCCCCAACAACTGCCGTCCCGACTCTTCCAAAATTGCGTGGGGCTTGGGAATCATCCACATCGTCCCCGGATAACCGAGAGAAGGAGAGTAGTGTTTATTATACAACTGCTTGGGGCTCACCTTATGCGGCACCCAGCCCGCGGAGGCTTTCTTGGTCATTAAGTCAGTTCGCGGGTATTGATCGTGCCTCTGGAAACAGCTCTCCAGCGTCGATGCGAAGTGGTATACATCACGATCCTGAGATAAACAATACGGACTTACTAAAGCCTTCTGCCGCGGAGACATCGGCGCGGCACCTATACAGTAACCTTCTGAGTCGTTCTCCTGGACGAGACCTGCTTAGTAGGAAAGGAGGCAAATCCATCAAGGATTTTACGCAGGACTGGATCAACCAATATCTGTCAGGCCAACCACGAACGGAGCGAAGCAACTGGTTGAGCGACGACTCCGGTAGCGAGGCGCCCTCCTTCTTTACAGCGCAGAACCATTTCGCCGACGACGCTTCGGACGACTGGCTTGGTCTGGAGGAGGATAGGCGTGGCGAGGACCTGCTTAGAACCCCAACACTGGCCGACTTTGTGAGCCGACGAGCTCTCAGTGCTAACGGCGAGAATACCCTGGGGCGTCAAAAAGTCAAGGATTCCCTGCACAAACGAACTGACACGCTCCGACAAGAGGACTTTTGGGGATTCGCATACGACAAGGATCCCCAGTCACTTACCATGACAGAAACAAAAGATACACCACCTTCAGCGGAGATGGAGACCGGCAAGGCGCCGTCACCGGCTGAGAAGCCGCTGCCTCCGCCCCCAGCAGATGCCGACAGCGAACCCCAATCAATATCGCACCCCTCTGAGAGCTCATC